TTTGGTAAAAAATTCTCCACAATTGCTACTTTTTAATAAGAGAGAAAAAGAAATATACGACAAAATTAAGAAGGAAATCAGAAAAAAAGTCAAAGCCCGCGAGTTGTTAAAAGAAGAATTAACCGAAAATGATGAGAAAATTAAGGACTTAGAGAAAAGGTTGGAAATTAGTAAAAAAGAAATTAAAGAACTAGAAAAACTATTAGTACCTTGTGTTGATGATTTAACTCAAAAATTAGAAATTAAAAAAGAAGAATTGAAAAGGTTAGTAAATGATGCAAAAGAAGAAATTGAAAAAAATAATCTAAATTATCTAGAAGAAGACTTAGTTCATTTGTTAGAAAGTCAAAGTGAATTGGTTAAAAGTGATAATAATTCTTCTCAGGAAGAGTTAGCACATACCAAAGAGACAATTAATCGTTACTTCAAAAACACTAAAAAAATAGAAGAAATTTGTCAAAAACAAGCAGAAATTACGGAGTTAAAGGTTGGTTTGAATAAACTAAAAATGAAGAATGTCAAGAATATTCTTCTGATTGGTAATACTGGCAGTGGTAAATCGACTCTGGCTAATGTCTTGACTGACACTAGCGAGTTCAAAGAGGGAAAATATGCAACTAGTGAAACTAAGGAAACCCAAATCAGAGAATTTGAAGAAAAATATGCCGTATACCGAGTAATTGATACCGTGGGAATAGGTGATACACAATTATCAGAAGACAATGTATTAGACAAAATAATTCAAACGATTTATTACTTGAGAGAAGGAATAAGCCAAATAGTGTTTGTTACTAGTGATAGATTCGATGATGGAGAAATAATGGCTTATAAATTAGCAAAGACTATTTTCGCCTCAGGAAGTGAGGATATTGATGACTATATTACTATTGTGCGAACTAGGTTTACTGATTTTGAAAATCAAGAAGAATGTAGAAAAGATATTGACTTAATGATTAAAAATGGCGGAAAGTTGTCAGAGATAATTAAAAAAGTTAAAGAAAAGGGTAAAATTATTCATGTGAATAACGGTACTGAGCAAGAAAGAAATTTTTCACGATCCATTTTAGTAAATTATTTAGTGGAAAATTGCCGAAAGGTCTATAATGAATCTTTGGATTTACGGAGGTTAAGTAAGGCCATCAGCATAAATATGAGTAAAATAGAAGGCCTAGAGAGGAGAAAAAAAGAAGAAATAGGAGTAGAAGACATTAGGATTTTGGAAAATGAAATAGCAGAGTTAAGAAAGGAACTCCGTCAATCAACAAAAGAACATATTGACTGAAACAAGGTAATGGAAGCTATCACTGAAAGTGCCAAACTTGCTAATCAAGTTGTTTCAGTAGCTGCCAAGTGTAAAGTAATGTAATCTGCTTAATTTGAGAAAATTGAGAAAACCTAGATCATTACTAAAAAACTTATAAAATCAGTTAATAAGAATTATGACACAAAATAAAGGCTTCCAAAAATATCTCCAAGAAATTGAAAGTTCTGATTATGACGGCCCTGATATTTCCCAAGCACTACCCGCTAATGCTTCGCCAATTGATAAGGCCAAATATAAGGTTTGTGAGAAAATATTAGCCTATCAGCAGGATAATAATTTACCGATTGAAGAAGTAGCACACAAAATCAAACTAACTACTGCGGAGACCAAAGATATTTTTCATTATCACCTAAACTGTTTCACTCTCGACCGATTATTAACTTACGCTAGCCGTTTATTTTCTCCTAACGAAATAGAAGTATCTATTACCGAAAAAAAAGACACGATACATGCCCGAACTGTTTAAGTTTGTTGAGGAAAAGGAAGCCGATAAAGAGCGACGGTGAACTTATTCTATACAATTTACCTTTATTTTTAATACCTTAACCATTAACGAAATCACCATCACCGACCACACCTGAAAGAAAAAAGGTCGTGAAGCAATTACCAAAGAATTAATATTAGATATTTTTCGAGCCGAAGTAAATGGTAAAAGATTTTTCCCCACTGACTACCATGGCAAGAGAAAGGTTTTTCTCCGGGAAGGAGTTCCTTTTGGCGATAAAAAATATAAACTAGTTTTCTGATTTAAAGATGGGACTACTAGCCATTTATGAATTAGAAATTGTCATCAACAAGATTAAAAAAGAGAAAATTTAACACTGAATAAAAATTGCTAGTTTATCAGTGAGATTAATTTGGTGGTGTCTTCTAGTGCCTAATCACTCTTTTTAATATTTCACTAGCAATGTCAAATCTGACTTAATTAATTCCTGAAATCTGGGTCGCATGTGCTTTCAATTAACTAACTCTACTTCAAAAGGTAAATTAGATTCCGTAAACTGTTCGCGGATTTGACTAATAATGGCCAGTGGCACCTCTTCTTGGTAGCAGATATCTAAATCGGAGTATTTTCGCGCAGTTCCTTTTACTCGTGAGCCATAAGCATAAAATTGGTAAGGGTATTTGTTCAGTATTTGTTGGATTATTTTGTGATGTCTTTCTTCTAATTGTAGGTTCATAATTTTATTTACTAATCTCTTCTTGGATTTTGTTAATTAAGTAATCCAGATCAGTTAAAAAATCTGGTAATACTTTTCAAACGTCGGCTAATATGTCGGCTTCATAACTATGGACGGTTAAATTTCTAGTTTCCAAATATTTTTCTCCTCATACTTCAAACTCACGGATTAAACCTTCGGCCGCAGCTTTGCGGAAAGTTTCTTTTGGACTGTAAACTTCAACACCTTTGGTTTTGAGAATTTTTTGACAAGTTTTTCAACTTAACTCGTAAGCCATCTCGAAGGCTTGAACACCACCCATTTCTTCCAGTTCGCTACTGGTTCCTTCCTTGACAACCTTTTCTAATAATCTTTTAGTTTTTAAGAGGGGTTGAATGTCAATTACTTCCTTTTTGTTCATTAATTAATATTTTTTTCTTATTTTTTGCTTTTCTTAGAAAATATTCCCCCCCCTAATGGTCGTAGTTGACTGCTAATTGGCGGAGACTATTGATAATGAGAAATTTTTTTACTTCTTTAATATCGCTTTTAATTTCTCTTAATTCTTGAATGACTTCTCTATTTTCGGTGGTTGCTATTCCACGATTGCTTGACATGGTTTTTAGTTGTTTTTTAGTCATATTAAGTTACTTTTTAGGCAATGCTTCAATTCTAGTTTCTAATTCTATATTTTCATCTTCTAGGCTATCTAAAAGGCGAATGTGGCTATCATCCTGAATAAGTTCTGATGGAATTTCAACTCTGGTTGCTTCTTGCCGAATTTCATTCTTTTCTTCTTCCTCAACTGTTCCATAGTAAAAGCTTCGTCGGTACTTATTTATTTCTTTTTCCAATTCTTTTATTGCTTGGAAAATTCCTCCTAGTTGACTGCTCCCTTCTTCAATTTTTTCCTTGTCTAAATCTTGAGCAAGTTCATTTTTATTTGTTTGCAACTCAAAAATGCTAATTGTTCCATTACTGTCTTCATCGTATTTTGTTGAAAATTCTTTAGACCTGTTATCTAAATCTTTCAGTGCTTCATCTAATTTTTCTTTTCCTATCTTGTAACCTCGGAGTGATTCGAGTATTCCTTTCAACTCATGGTAATTATCCAACAACTCAACCGCATCTTTCGTAAATTCCTCCCATTTTTGGCTTTTTTCTTCGTATCACTTTTGTTTGGCATAAGAGGTAATTGTCTCAATTATTGGAGAAGCCACTGCTACCGCCCCTACTTGATAATTATAGAAGGATAAAATACCACTAATACCAATAGCTGCCCTTCCTCCCCACTGAGGAATAGTTCAATATCAATTTATTTTGAATTCTTTGGGAGATTGCAAATTACTTAATTCATTTGTCTTCTCACTACCAAAGAATTTTCTTTTATTTTTTTCATATCAATCATCTTCTACTTCCTCACTTCATTTGTTAACAAATTTTTTGATGTTACTACGAATTACAAATAATCTTTCAATAGGAATAGATAAGACAATATTGCTCCTTAATTCCTCACGTCATTTAACTAAGTTAAAGTATTTTTCGCCATCTCTTCTTTCTTCAAGATGCTTAACTAAAATACTAGCAATTTTGGCTGATTTCTTTGTGGTGTCTGGCTCGCAGTAGAGTTCTCGACAATTATCTGATAAGTAGTCGAGACCTGAATCCACATCAGTATTATTAAGAATAATTGTTCTTAGTTCTTTCATGTTTTCTAGATATTTTAAACTACCAGTAAAAGGACAATTACCAATATTTAGAACTTTTAAAGCGGTAAAGGGAGTTAAAAAATTCAGACTTTCTTTCAGTTCTTGATTGTCATTTAACTTTAACTTCTCTAATTTTTCTTGGTTAGGTATCGTTTGTAGAAAATTAGTATTAGTAAATTCGTTGTTTGAACAATCTAACTCAGTCAAATTTTGACAACCGCTTAGATTTAGGCTAGTTAATTGGTTGTAAGAACAATTCAATTTTTCTAAATTAGTGAAATCACTCAGGTCTAGTTTCCCTGTCAAATTCTTATCGCTCATAATTATCTCTTTATAATGCTGTCGGTTGGTATAAGGAGGATATTTTTCATTTAATCATTCTTGAGCCTCTTGTCTTTTAAAAGCTTCTGTTCCGAACAATTTTACAACTTGGCGTCAAGGGGCAAAACGATATCAATCCTTAACAAAAGGTGGTTCATTTTCTTCCTGTTGCTGAAGCTTTTCTGTTACTCTGGGAAATCTAACTGACCTCTCTATTTCTCACTTAATATCTAAATAACCAGCATTTTTTCGTTGCCAGCTGTTGACTAAACAAATTTTCCTTAAACTATCTGGTAAGTATTTTAATCCAGAATCGATGTCAGTGTTAGCAATGTTTATTCATTTCAAATCTCTGAGGTTTTGGAGGGGTTGCAAAGAACCATTGAAACGATTATAAATGTTCTGCTCCAACTTTTCTTTACTATGGTTGTCAACGAACAATTTTTCTAATTTAATAAATTTACTCAAAAAAGACAAATCTTGTTTTGCAAAATTGTTACTATGAATACTTAAATGGGTTAATTTTTCAGGGTTAAGGCTACTGAGAAAACTAGTGTCAGTTAGTAAGTTATTAGCAATATTTAGTTCGTTAACTTCCGGGCAGTTATCAACGGTTAAATAGGCAACTTGACAGCCATTAGCGTGGAAGTAATTCAATTTAGGCAGGTTAATTAGTTTAATGCTAACAAGGTCTTTGTTGTTGCCACATTTGATACTTTCTAAATTGGGGAAATCTTGGACGATTAATTGACCCACTAACTCTTGATTAGCAAGGTCTAGTTCTTTGACTTCTTTGGAATAATTTTGATCCAACCATTCTTGTGCGTTTACCATATTTTAAATATATGTCTTATTTTAGCCAATTTTGAATGAGTGGATTAGTTGTATTTAACATTAGTCAATATTATAGCTGGTTTAATTTTTGCCGCACTTGGCTTTTTTAGTTTATTTTCAACACGAAAAAGCGAATAATTTTCCTGTTTTCAGGCTAAAGTTAATTTATCCTAAAAATGACTTAATATGACTAAAAACAGCAGAAAGAAAAGAAGAATAGCAGTTAGTTCTTCAGATAATTGAAAGGATATTCTTCCGGGATTCACCGAAAGATTACGAGAAGAATGAGAAAAGAAAGGATTTAATTATGAAGAGTGCAAAGAGTGAATTAACAATGGTTTAAAACCAACTGATGCTGACTATGCTTGGTGGCTAAAAACTGAAATTGAAATTAATCCTTCTTTGTATGGCTCTAAAAATAAGGAAAGGAAAGAAAAATGAAGAGAAACATGAAAAAAATTTTTGAGCATTCAGAATGCCCAAGAATGATTAGAGGTTAATTACCCTAAAGAAAACGAGGATGCCACCTTATTTGCTAGAAGTAAAAATTTAGGGGGAAAACTAATTATAAAGGGATACCAGGAATTAAAAAATATCTATTGCGAACATAATAGTAGCCTTACTCATGTTGAACTTATTGATCTGCCCGAACTAACTCATTTTAGTGTTAGTGATTGCCATTTGGAAAATATAAGGATTAGGGGCTGTCCAAAAATTAGCCACTTAAATGTCAGTAATAACTACCTTCGCGATTTAAACTTTTTGGACAGTCTGCCACCAGAAAAGTTGAAATATCTAGGTCTTCATAACAATGACATAGGTAAAAAGGAAAACGAACAAGAAGAAAAGCACAATTTAAGTTCTTTTAGTAGATTTGTTAATCTAGAAGAATTATACATTGATAATTCTGACAAAGGAAAGTTTGAGAAAGACCTCTATAACCGTTTTACTGGTTCTTTAAAGCCTCTAAAAGATTTAGAAAAATTAAAGTGATTAAATGTCAGTAACACAGATATAGGAAATGACTTAGGGACCAGCGAAAAAGATACTGATTATGGGTTATGGTATTTACCAAACAGTGTGAAGAAAATTGGTTGCAAAGGTAGCAATGATTGAGTAGATAAGGAAGGCAAAAAAAAGGTTTGGGGTTGCGAAAAAATCCAAAAAAAACTGAAAAAAAAATTTGGCGCTACTAAGGAACCGCAACAAATAGAAGTTGACGAGCCAGAATTTGCCCGTGAGTGATGTGTAGTGGAACCATTTTTTGCTAATAAAACAGACGTAATGATAGCTCCCAGCCTCTTGCTCAAATCGCTAAACAAAAACAGGATTAAGGAAAATTATGATTGCGATAACATAAACTATCGAGAAATACGTCTAAGAGATGGCAAACCTTTTTCTTGAGAAATTACTAATAATAACTCTGAACAAACCGTAATCAAAAAATTACCAAGTAAACTTTACAACATTAAAACAAAAAAAGTAGAAAAAACGGAAAGAAATTTGAATATAAGAAATTATGCTACCTTATCTTATGCTTATGGTAGCACCGATCCGAATGATAAAAAGTTAAGTTCGGGGGGGAGAAAGGCTCTAACTAAAGCCCGAGAAGCATGTTTTCATTTAGGAATTGATTATCTCTGAATGGATCAATTATGTATTAACCAAAATAATAACGAAGAAAAAGCCCAAGAAATAAAAAAAATGCACCAATATTTTAGCAATGCCGATGTTACTTTAATAACGATTAATACTAAGGCAGAGGAAAAAAATAGCAATGAAGAACCGACTACTTTCAGCCTGTTAAGTGTATTAGAGTTGATACTTCGATCCAAATGATTTACTCGTTGTTGAACTTTTCAAGAGGGCTGACTATCTAAACAAACTATTTTTATGTTTGATGACTATCTAATCGATGGAAGAATAATGGCCGGGGTTTGAGTTTTAGAACAACCCTCTTATAGTGACGGCATTAAATATAATAACATTAATGAGTTTAATGATGGCTCAAAAAAAATCGCTACCCCTATTGGCTGAACCTACTATAAAAAAGGCTACAGTCATGAAGACACAATTTTTTTAACCTTAAATGAAATTTTGCGAGCAGTTAAAAAAAGAAAAAGAACTTTACCTATTGATAGTGTTTACTCCATTTTAGGACTATTGCCTTATGGAAATAAAGTGCGAGTGGATTATTCTTTAACTCCTCAGCAGGCTTTGTTTGAGGTGATGAAAACGGCGGTGGAAAATGGTTACGCTGAGCCTTTGGCTTGGCACGGAATCGGAAAAAATGTTAAAGGTATTGGGCGATGCCTGCTGCCTAACATTGACAAGAAAGGTTCAACCAGCGTTCAAGGTTCATTATACATTCAGTGTAAACAGGAAGAAAGAGAAACGAAAAAAGCTATCACTTTTATGCCTAATAGTGTTAAAATAGCCGATTCAAGTGGCTTAACTTACACTATAAAGCAATTCGAAAGAAACACGGTATCTTTCGACGTAAGAGAAGACTTTTTGATAGATGGCGGTGCTTATATGAAAGATGTTGTGGTAACTTTTATTGACAAAAAAGAATACAAGGAAAGGCGAGTTACTTTATTAGGAACTCGGGAAACACTAGAAGAAATGAAACCAGGAGACCATTTAGTAACATTTGGTAGAGGATATTGGAAAAGCAACAAACCTTTTGGCATAGTAATAAGGAGAAAAGGCAACCGCTATCACCGGATAGGTTTAGTAGAATTTCAAAAAGGAACTGAGAAAGAATTAAAACAAATAACCAAAGATGAGGAATTAACCATTTGAATAAATGATTACAACCAAAAAGATTCTTGTGAACAATTAGTATTTAGTGAAGAAGATTCAATAAATGATTGTCAAGAGTTTATGGAACAACCACCTAAGGAGCGTTTATCGCGTTCATAAATTATCTTATAACTGCAAAAATAAATAATTTTGAATAAACTTTCTAATTTAGGCAAACAACCATCCAAAATTTTTATTTTAGAATGGTTCTAACTTCAATTTTGGCTTCGAAAAGTTTTTCACTTTCTAATTCTTGTAAGTTGATTAATTCTTCCCTTTTAATACAGAATTCTTCTCATTCAGTGCTAGACAATTTGGCTTTTAATAATTTTTCGGCTGTCGATTGTTGTTGTGGGGTAAGTAAATTGCTTTGGTTAAACAGATAATTTTGAAGCATTTCTTTTTCTTCAATAGTGAATTTGGCTTTGTGCTGTTCAAACATTTTTTCAATTTGTTCCTGCTTTTCTGTGAGTCCATATTCCAATAATTTTGCGAGTTTTTTGGTTTTTTCTTCAACTTTTTGAAATTGTTTTCTTAGTGTTTCAATTTCTTCTTTTAGTTCCTTTACTTGTTTTCGCAAACTCTTTACTAAAGGCTTGTCTTCGAGCAATAACTCTTGAGCTTCACGTCAGGGAGCCATTCTGTGTCAGTTGCTAACGAATTCTGGTTCGCCTTCTTCCTCCTGATATAATTTCTCAGTTACTCCAACAATTTGCGAGCATTTTTCTAATTCTTCCCGAATTTTTAAGTAGCCGGTATCTTTTCGGTCTCATTCATCATCCAAGCAGATTTTCCTTAAACTTTCTGGCAAATGTTCGAGGTCAGAGTTGAGGTCAGTGTTAGCGATGTTTAACCATTTTAATTTTTCTAAATTGCGTAGTGGACGAAGAGAACCAATAAAGCGGTTATAAACATTATTCTCAAACTTTTCCTCATCGTGATTGTCAATAAATAGTTGCTCTAAATTGGTAAACTTACTGAGAAAAGATAAGTCTTGTTCTGAAAAATTATTACTGTGGATACTCAAATAGATTAACTTTTCTGAGTTCAGTTGATTTAAAAATTTAGTTTCACTAAGGAGATTGTTTCCTATGTTAAAATAATTAATTTCAGGACAATTATTGATAGTTATATTAGTAATTTGACAACTATTAGCATGAAAATAAGTTAGTTGGGGTAAGTTAGTAATTTCAATACTAGTAAGTTTATTATTAAAACCACATTCAATTTTTTCTAAACTCTCAAAATTTTCAATAATTAATTTTCCTTCTAAATTTTTTCCTCTTGCAAAAATCTTTTTGACTTCTTTTCTTTGTTCTTTAGGATAAGTTTTATCTAATCATTTTTGTGCTTGTACCATATTAATATTTTAATAATTTTTAATTTTTTAATAATATTACTTAATTATCTTTGTCAGTTAGATTGTTCACTAATAATTAATTGGAAGTTATTTTTTTAACTTTTCAACTCTTCTTTTATTATTTAAACCTATTTTTCAATTTGTTTCGTATTTCTTTATTTATTAGGAACTTGAACTTGGGATTGCGTTTCAGTTTGTTGGTCTTCTTCATTAAGGTTAAGTTGATCAAGATCGGCCGGGATTTCTAAATTAATTTGTTTAGAGTCACTGCTATAAAATATCTCGTTAATTTCTTTGCTGTTTTGAGATTCAGGAAGACTCTTAAAATCCAAACGACGACTAGTGTAAAGTGCTGAAGGGTGGGTTTTGTAATCAAGGGCAACCAACTTATCTAAGAATTGTTTTTTATCTTTAAGCTGTTCAAAGAATTCGGTGTTCTTTTGACCATCTACTTCTCCTACTCAGTTGTTTAAAATCCGACTTAATTCATTAGCCGTGGGACGTCTTGCAGGATCAGCATCTCAACATCTTTCAATCAAGTTTTTTAATAACTGGGGTATTTTCGCTTCAAATCGTGGACGAAGCCCTTGACAAATTTTTTCTGCTAAACTGTGTTCATGAGGTAATTCTTTATAACATTTTTCTTTTTCATCATAAACTACATAAGGAGGTAATCCTGATAATACTTCATAAGCCACTATCCCTCAAGAATAAATATCTGAAGCAGGAGTATAATTTTCTTTTCTTAAAACCTCTGGTGCTATATAAGGTAAAACTCCATAAATTTCTTTTTCTTGATTAACTTCGCTAACTGGTTTACACAAACCTAAATCAGTAATAAAACTATGAATTTCACTATTTAGGATGTTGCCAGGGTGAAAATCTCGATGCACTAAACCTTTTTGATGAATATCCTTTAGTCCTTGGGCAATGTTAACTAAGCGAAGAAGTTTATCTTTAAAGTTTAGTTTTTTGGTTTTTAGGTATTTTCTGAGGTCTCCTCCTTCGATATATTTCATGACCATGAGATAATTTCCGTGGGGGTCTTGAGAGATGCCGTAGCAAGGAACAACATTGTTAAATCAATCATCAATGATTTTATGCTTTTCGGTCTCTTTAAGAAATTCGGTATTGTTTTGGGAGTTATTGAGGCTTTTAAGGACTACTTCTTGCCTACGTTTACCCATTAATTCTTTAAATTCTTTTTGTAACTGAATTAATTCTGACTTGTTTTGACAAAGATTGTTGATTTCTTCTGCCGTTAATTTTCCACTCAATCCTGGCTTGATATTTTCTAACGCTTTAACAAATTTCCTGGGAGTAATTGGAAAATCGCTAAAAAATGATTTTAGCTTTTCTTCTCTTTCTTCGCGTTTGGTTTCCGAGAATTTGCTGTTGCTTTTTAGTTTGGTTTTAGCTGACTTGATTGAACTTTCTAAAATAGATAATTTAGATTTAATTTGTCGTGTTAGATTTTCTTCGCAATCTTTTTCTCTTATTCATTGATTATTCTCATTGTCTCAGTGATGAATGTTTCCCATGGTTCACTTAGCTTTGTAGACTTTCCCAAAACCTCCCTCAGCGAGATACTCAACATTAGTAAACTGTTCATAAGGTATTCACTCAATAAACTTGTCCGCATCAGTGGCTCGGAGTTGGTATTTTTGGATGAATTGGTCTATTTGAGGATTACCACTAGTCCAATTAACAAAGTTTTCTTGTAAACGAGGAGTATTACAATCTTTGCACCATCGTTCACCAGTATTTGGTTGATTGCATTCTTTACATAGTCCATATTATAATAATTCCTGTTCAGAACTTAAACGTAGTAGGTGAACTTTTTTATTTGTCCAACCACATCCTCACTAAGCTTTTTAATATTTAACGTTTAATTTTGTGAAGAAATTACAAACTTAAACATGTTGTTCATATCTTTGCAATAATCAGAAAACCATGTAGATGATATACAGAACTTGTCCTTAGAGAAAATTAACAAAAGAAAAAGCGATTAATTTTAGTGATTTTCCTCCAAAACCCAAAGCTAGACTAATTTCTGAAACTATTCATACTTATCTTATAAACTCGCAAAGACCCTAAAAATATATATTATGATTAAATTTTCACATGATGGTAAAATGCATAATCCACCAGGAGGAGGTTCCTCAGTTTTTAAAAAAGATTACGTTAACTACATTTCCAATTACCTTCCTAAAAATAACATAAGGATAAGCGTGGGAGCTCTACCAAATAGTTCTCCTCATTTTGGTACTATAATCACTTTTTCACTTGCTTTTTCACTTGCCCAAAGGTTAAAAAGTCTTGGTAAAAATGTGATAGTTATGGCGGGAATGGTAGACACGGCAGCCTTATCTGCTGATGAATCTAGTTTTGAGAATGTTAAATATCAAAAAAGTATTGCTTACATGGGAGCAATTAGTAATCATATTAACGACTTCAAAGAATTATTAAAAAGTTTGAGTTCTTATTTTGGAAATATAGATTACAAAATAGTAAACCAAAGTGACTTTAGTTCACATAAGAAAGCTCCTAAAATAATTAAAAAAATAATAAGCGAGAGGGAAAAAATTGAGCAATTATTGTTCCCTACAACAAACTGTTTGGGACTGAGAGTAGCTTGTTCTCAGTGTGGACTAGCTGATGAACATGGGTTAAAAAATCGCTATGATGGCAACATAATTAATTTTTTCTGTCCCAATCATGGTTGATACTCAGTTGACATAAGCAAAACCAATGAATTGAAAAAATTAGAATACGAAACTCCATTAAGAAATTTAGTGCGAGGCTTACTTTACACGGAAGATAATCAAGAAAAAGATGTTTCCTACTCTTGATTAAGAGTTACTGGTAGTGACTATGCAGGCTTTTACCAAGAACAACTTTTTTACAAGGCAGCAACTATGCTAGATATTAACACAATCAATTCTCCACTTATCGTTTATAGTCCACTGATACTTGATTGGTCAGGAGTTAAGTTGTCAAAATCAATTCTTGTTGAAGGAGGGTATAAATATCTGACTGAACAGGGGTTAGATTATTTTATAAATTATCGAAAATTTAAGGGAAAATTTGGTGATAAAGGTCTAAAAATGATGTTTGATGAAGTTAGTTTGTGATTAGAAGAACCACATAGGTTGTTTAGAAATTACACCATTTTTTATTTTGATGAGTTATTTAAAGAAGAAAAAAGTAGAGAATCTGTGCAAAAGATGACAGCAACTACTCAAGAGGAAAAAAAAGTTAATGTAGACACTGAACTAGATAACAATAAATTGGAGGAAGAAATTCGGGAGGTGACCAATTTTCAAGAGGGACAAATTGAAGTTCTTCCCAAAAACAAATAAGAAAAATAGTCTATTAGAGAAAATTACTGAGAATAATATTATAACCAAGGGAAGCATAATCTCCCCCCTTTCTACTATTTACTACTGCTAACAAGCCCATAATTATTATCGATATGTTCTTGCTGAGCAACGTATTCGATTTTCTCTTTATCTTTTCCATTAGTTAATTTGGTACGCAAGGTCTCAAGATTTTTCTCTAAATTCTTTATTGTCTCTACAATTGTCTTTAATTCTTTTTCTTCTTCGGATTTTATCGCTATTGCCGTGTTTTCTTCCTCATTAGAGCTATGCTCTGCTAGAATTTTTTGTAGTTCACCTGTTCTGTTTTTTAAAGAATTAAGTGCGGCCTTTATTTCCTCATTTTCTAATTCTTTAAGTTCTTGGCAGACCTCACAAAAATCATTAGCTTTTTTAATAAATTCAGTTCATTTTACTTCATCAATATTATTTTTTTCTAATTGTTTAGCGATTATTTCTACCAGTGGGAGCAAAAGATTGACCTTTTTTTCGACCAACTCTTTTTCATTAGTAATTTCATTTTCTAAATAAGCTTTTCAAGTGCTTTTGCCACTTCAGTTGTTATTTTCTTTACCTTTTTGATTGTATTCTTCTTCAATACTAAATTCTGAACTAGCATAATTATTCAGTAAGTCAACAATAATTCAAGCCAAGGTTTGCTTTTGGTTATTTAGTAAGATCTCTTTATCTTGCTCCTGAACCACTGAACTACTTTCTTGACGATAAGCAATTATTTCCTCTTCTAATTTTTTCATCATTCTGACAATTCTTCCGAGTTGGCTGGCTCCTGGTCATATTTTTTCTTCACTTAAGTCTTTAGCGAATTCTGCTCTCGGTTTATCTCCAATCAACTCATCAATATCAATTACTCCATTTTTCCTAATGTCTTTTTCTTTATCCTCTTTGTCATACGTGTCTAAAAATGTTTTAGTGACTTTTCTTAAATTATTAAGTGTTTCGTTTACTTTGCCTAAATCTTTTTGCTCAATTTTTTCCAAGATACCTAATAACTCATGATAATTATCTAACATATTTTTAGTGTCAATTACAAAATCATTTCACTGGGCTTGGCGAACTTCTAAAATTTTATCATTAATATAGGAAGTAAGAGTTTCTGCAAAAGGACCCACAATGGCAATCACGCCTCCGGTTTGAGTATAAGTTTGGGAGTTTGGATCAGTAGTGTCAGACTGTCCTACTAGCACTAAACTACCACCCGCCACTAAAGTAGCACGGTTAGCTCATTGCACGGTAGCATTTGCTCACCATTGTCAACTAAAATCTTGAGGATTTTTTAGTTTGCTCAACTCACTTAAATTCTCATCTTGTTTTCATAGTTGGCTGATTTTATTGTAAGGTGAAGTTAGGAAGTTTTTTAGTTTGTTTTTTTTCTCTTTGTTGTTATCTTCCCTTATTCCTCATTTATCAACGAATTTCTTGATGTTACTACGAATAACAAAGAGTCTTTCTAAAGGAATTACTAAGATGGTAAGGGCATTTTGTTTATCTGTTTCTCTTCATTTGTCAAGATTGTAGTATTTTTTTCCATCATTGTCGCTATCAGAACAGTGTTTTTTATCTAATTCTTTTGTAATTTCCTCATTATTGCAGTAAAGTTTTCAGCAGTTTTTTAGTAAGCATTTTCATCCCTCACTAATGTTAGTATCATTGATATTTAGTTCTTCCAATTTATTTAGATTTTCCAGGATCTTTAAACTTTGCGAGGAAAGGTTTTTATTTTCTTGTATTTCTAACCTTTCCAAATTACTAACTGATTTAAGAAAGTTTAAATTAGTTAAGTGGTTATTGTTGCATTTGAGTTCAACCAAGTTTGAGCAATCACTTAAATCAAGGCTAGTGAGTTGATTGTTAGAACAATTTAACCTTTTTAAATTAGTAAAACCTTTTAAACTCAGTCTTCCCTTTAAATTTTGATCACTGACATCTAATACAAGCATTCTTTTTATTTCATTTTCAAAAGGATAGTTCTCATCTAGTCTTTTTCTTGTTTCAGGTTCATAAGGTTCTTCTTTTTTAAATTTATCTAAATAATCTAATAATTTTTTTCTCGAATTTTGTCGTGATTTATTAATGTAGCCATCAAAACTTGTTGGTGAGTTGTCTACATGAACAACTTTTTCTTTAAGAATTTTATCAACAATCTCCTTATATCCTTCTTTATTATTTTTATTGAAAAAAGTAGTCAATGTTTTCTTGTCCTCTTCACGTTTATCCTTACTTCTAAAATCAGGAAAATAGGTTCTTACGATAGTAGTATAATCAAGTGCTTTAT